GGGGGGGGGGTGCGCTCCCCTATGGCTAGCAGCTGAGGCAGGATTGATGAGCTGAAGGTGACGGGAGAGGCATTCTGGGAGGGGGGGGGGCTGTTACCAATTAAGCCATGTGCTGCTCTTTGGAGAACCAGCAGGACAAAGTGGCAACTGCATTGCCTCCCCCCTGCCCCCGCACCTCTAAAACCAGCACTGTGTCACTGACTCCTGTGGTTTGAGCCACCCTTGCCATGAGCGCCCCCTACCTGTGGGCCTCCCATGGAATGTCAGGCCTTTGACTGTGTTTGTATTCAACGCTTTTCCTATTTCGTTGTTGATTTTTCAACACAAAAGACTGGAAGAGAACAGAGGAGCGGCACAGTGATTTCTTGTTGTAATTGTAGCACACGGGGGCACTCAGGCTGGGGGGCAGGCTTGGCACAGCAGGGAGCCTCTGCTGTACACAGCGTGGGGGGGTGCGACCACCTGCCGAGCAGCCGTGAGCTGGCCGTACGTCAGCCCTCACCCCAGCTAGATAGAGTGAGGGCTGACCCCTTGCCAGAGAGCCGATGGGGGGCGGGGGCTGACCCACTTTACGGGTCCCATTATGAGCCGCTAGCTGCTGCTGTAATAATAAACACTCCACAGACCAGTGGCTCCATGGCTGCCTGCCCTGCCCCCCCTGCTCCCAGCCATCCTACTGAGCACTGTGCTGGGGGTCTGCAACTTCTCCGCTGTGAACTGGATCCCCGTGTGTCTGTGTGGAGTGGCGAGGGGGCTTGACAGTGGTGGGCGGGGTTTAGTGGGATGGGCCGGGCCACAAGCACCCAGAAAGTCAGCTCCCCAGAGACATGGACAGCAGAGCGCGCTCAATGCCCTCAGTGATTTCAGAGTGACTGTGACTGGCGCGCCACGCCCTCAGTGATTTCAGAGTGACTGTGACTGGCGCGCCACGCCCTCAGTGATTTCTGAGTGACTGTGACTGGCGCGCCACGCCCTCAGTGATTTCTGAGTGACTGTGACTGGCGCGCCACGCCCTCAGTGATTTCTCACACACAGGTATACACAAATATGCACACACACAGGCACACATACACGGGCGCACACATAGCTACGCACACAGGTATACATACAGACAAACTGCTGTGCAGTGGTTTTTGCACAGGGATTCTCTGTGTTAAACCCATGTGGATGCATGTCCTTTAGAGGACCCTCGGCCTCATGAGCTTAAAGTCAAATAAACTAAAGTGAAAAAGAGATCCAGTCTCTCAGAGAACTCTGGGAAAATCCGGTGTGGAGGTGGGGCTTTTTGTGCTTCCACAGATTCAAGAAACGGTCATCTGCAGCAGCCTGTATCCCAGCTCCATTGTTTAATGGGTGCTTTAAAGTCAAGCACTGTAATTAATTCAGTGTTTATACCTTTGCAGCAGAAGAGGGTGGAATGAACCTGGGGTGATTTTTGCATCAAAAACGGAGCTTATTGCAGTGCGTGGCAATTACGTCGACACTCAGTGCAATTTGCATGATGAGGAAACGATTAGAAAGTAACAGGGAGGTGAAAGAGCGGATTGTCCGCGAAGGGCTGTCGGCGCGGAGAGCTTTCTGGCACGCGGGAATCAGCTGGGATGGTGCTCTTGTTAATCCCTGCTATCAGAAGGCTGCTGCTGACCCAGAATGCAAATGGCACCGTCACTGGCCGGGATAACTTACTGGTTCGAGGGTGATGGTAGGCGTGGGGCGATATGAAAAGACCTTGGTTTATGTTTCTGGTATGTTGTGGTAGTGTTATGATGCTGTTCTGGCTGATTATCTGTGACTCTACGGCAGTGGTAGGCAACCCTAATCCCAGAGAGCCGGTATCCAGCAGGTTTTTGATCCTACCTGGTCTCTGACGAGCCACACCTAATCTCAGGCAGATCAGAAATAATCCATCTGATGGCAGTGAACCCTGAATCTTGTCCGTTCTTGCTTGGATCCAGCAGGAGGTGCTCTTGGGGCTATTCGCGAGACGGAGCTCTGTTACAGTCGTTTCTTTTCAGCTGTACATGCTGCCAAGGAAAGAAAGAGCCGCTAATTGAACAGAATAATCATCAGCATCACAATAGTGTGACCTTTTCAGCGCAAACCGCGTGCTTAACCAGCAAGACCAGCAAGTGGCAGATGAGTGAGGAAATCTGCCAGGCTGTGGTGGGTGTTTCTGGATGGGGGGGGGGAATCAGCTCAGTGGCTGGATCCAGTTCAGGTCCCACATCCACTTCTGGGGTCTATATATAGACAGTGCCAGACCTCTAAGACTGTGGGCGGGGGGACTGGGTTCAAAGTGTTCAGTGGCAGCTGACCCCCATACCAGGGTCAGTCATGCCACGTGGGGTGAAGCTAGTCCCCTCTTGGGGGGGAGGGGGGGGGTGTGTCTGAGTATGGCAGTACAGGAGCAGGAATTAGCATGTTAGCCTAGCGCACTCTGCACTGCAAACCCCACCATGCTAATGCTAATGAGCAATTCCTGCTCCTTCATGCAGGTACCTGACCCATATCTTCAGAACAGCTTCAGCTGGGGGTGGGGGTGGGGGGGTGGTGATTCATGTAAGGCTGTAATAGGTCGTCTCCTTTGCAATGGGGAGAAAACTCCTGAAACATGGGGACCCTCAGCGAGCGTAAAGGTTAACACAGATTCTGGTGAGTACAGGGAGAGAGGGAGAGAGGGAGAGAGAGAGGTGTACAGTACATGGTGAGGTTGAAGCTTTCCCTGATCTTTCCCGGGTTGCTGTAGTTTGGGTGCAATTCCAAGCAAAGAGTCGGTGGTGTAAGGTCATGGAGAAGTAAAGAGGAGGAAGAAATGACCAGGGGGGTGCAGAAGGGCAGCCGATCATGGAGACAGTCAGCAAAGGGGCTGCCAGTCTGGGGGGGCAGTTTACCGTCGCTGCTTCCATCAGTCTGCCAACAGGAGCTGACAGAAGGGGCGGGTCCATAGAAGAGACCAGCCAATCAGGAAGGGCGTCTGGCCAATCGGGAAGAGCGTCTGGCCAATTGAGAAGGGCATCGCCACCTGTCTGAAGGGGGAGGACTAACATTTCAGTACCACTGACCAAAGCATCCCTGCACCATCTTTTATTAATCTCCAATCAGCACACCCTGGAAGGAGAAACATCTCAGCGCAGGGGGGTAATTCTTCTGTGCCAGTCGAGATGGCGGGCACAGCAAACACCGTGCCCCTTTGTCCATTATTGTGCCGTCATCCTCAAAGCCATTTGTGTGCAACGCAAGTCACACGACATTCAAAGTCAGACAGAAAAAACAGACAGAATCCCGCCGAGACCCGTTGTACGTTTCCCGCGCTCTAATCTGAGACGTTATCCTATAATAATAGTGGCTCCGTCTTCTCGAGCAGCCGTACAGGTGTGAAAATAATGAGCATTTGCTTTGAGGTGAATGTTAATGTGGCAGATCTCACCGTGGTCCTCGTTCATTCAAAGCCTCCCCTCGCTGTTTAATTTACCGTTTTGTATCGCTGCGTGGCCTCTCGCTCGCGCTGGGAGTGCGGAAGCCATTGTATTTTCGGAAAATATGCTTTTAGGAAAACAGCCAAGATATACATAAATAAAAATGCAGAAAGTAATTTCTCAGTTTGCATTGGTCAGAAATAAGGGGATTGAGCCTAAGGAAGCTCACATGTCACCTCTGGCGGCAAGTACCTCGCTAACTCTGCCCCCTTGTGGTGAGCATGGGGGAACCAGAGGATATTCCCACCCCGTTTGGTCAGGCATTGCAGCTGGGGGCAGGGCTTCCAGCCAGCCAATCAGATCTCAGCTCTCATGTTGCATGTCGGCCACAGTTGTCCCTGTTCTGGGAAATGGCCCATGTGCTCACCCATGTTCCCCGAGGTCAACACCATCACCATGCTGTGACCTCCATGTCCAGAGGAAGTTCTGACACTCTGCGTCATTTCTGATTAGTTTATGGCTCGTCTTTTCTGACAGCACAGTTCCTGGGGCAGTTTCAGGTGATGGACTGTGCACCTGAGAGTGGGGTCGCCCCCCCCTGCTCTCAGGCCCCCCATGTGCCCCCACTCGCTCCCCATAACCAAACCTGGAAGCATCCAGAAACAGAGCACTCTTTCTGAATAAATAAGAGTGGTGTCTCTGCACTGAAGGTATGTGCTGTTTTTTTCATGGACACCCCATCGTGCCCCGCAGCAGCGACGTCTCCTGTCTCCTGTCCCTTCTGCCCTTTCTGTCACGGTGATTCCTCATTCCTTCCCATAATTCCATTTGCCACATCCTTCCCAGCTTTCGTTGAGCTAATCACGCGCCCCGTTTCATGCCACATTCACCCCCAACCCACATACCTGCCCGGTAAGGTGGGACATTTATATAATACAGTAACATTTACGTGAGCTGAAGAAACCTTGTTCCAGAGAAACTCAAAACTGTAGTTTCTGACTGTAATTTCAATGTGGCTGCTTGGGGTTGGTCCCTCCCTGGGGGGCACGACCCAGCAACCCTCCGCCTACAAGCCGGTGTCCTTAAGCGTAACCTTAATATTTAATGCTGGGATGCTGTGGATTGTGGATGTGCAGCAGCTGTTAATTGCGTCTCAGCAGAGAGGAATTCCAGTCGATGGGAGAAGCTGTAATGGGGAATTCTGCCTGGCACTAAAAGGTAAAACTACAAGTGGCTAACCGAGCAATCGGGGCACATGGTGAGCCTCCCCCAAGGACCCCCGCCACACAGGGGCGTCACATCGCTTTATTTGAGGGGCACACAGACTATAGTCTAGCCTAAGTGAAAAACAATGCCTAAGGAATTCAGAAATCCAAGGATTTACAAATAATTAAGAACATACAGTATGTGCAATTATCTGTAAAATCACCGTCAACACAAAATTATGCATTTCAAAAAGCTGTTTAAACTGCGTTTAGGCTCCACTATGTGTGGTAATTAAATTAACATGTTATTTCTCAGTGTTTTACATACTTCCAAACTATAGATTTGCTGAATCTGTTGTTTCATTAGTTTTATAGTTAATGTACTGATTTTTGTAGCAGTGGGCTACGCTGGTAGCTCATGGAATAAAGGGGCAATCGGTCAATGTGACCAGTGTAACCTTTGTACACATCACCGTTACTAGCCCTAGCTTACACATCACTGTCAGCCTATTTGAATCACATCACCGTTATTAGCCCTAGCTTACACATCACCGTTATTAGCCCTAGCTTACACATCACCGTTATTAGCCCTAGCTCACACATCACCATTACTAGCCCTAGCTTACACATCACTGTCAGCCTATTTGAATCACATCTCTGTTATTAGCCCTGGCTTACACATCACCGTTATTAGCCCTAGCTTACACATCACCGTTATTAGCCCTAGCTTACACATCACCGTTATTAGCCCTAGCTTATACATTACCACTTGGAGGGGGCAGTTGACAGTTTTTACAAGAATACCGACTCTCTTTGAATGTTTAGTCCAGGAAGCGGCATGTATGAACGCCTGCTCTGTTTCGAAGGGGGCGCAGCTCAAATAAAACCCATCAATGGTTGCAGTGCATGCTGGTAGTGGATAAGGAGAAAGAGACCTGTAATCTGGTCTCACGTTTAATGAGTGACATGAAAAGCTACCCTGCGGGTGCAGCATGATCGCACGACACAAATGAATTATCAGTACAATTTAAGAAAAATCAAACTTCCAGAAAAACTGAGGGGCATGAGCTCCCTCAATCTCCATGCGTGTAACGCCTCTGCCGTCACCATGGTGATACACGTGATGGACTCAGAGCATGGCCATCCTGCTCTGGGCCGCACCATCCACCATCACATGGCCCCCGGCGGATCTGGCCTCTGTTTACCGTCTCAGAGGGCACGCTTGGTTACCGATCGCGGCCCCCGGCGGATCTGGCCTCTGGTTACCGTCTCAGAGGGCACGCTTGGCTACCGATCGCGGCCCCTGGCGGATCTGGCCTCTGGTTACCGTCTCAGAGGGCACGCTTGGCTACTGATCGCGGCCCCTGGCGGATCTGGCCTTCCCTAGGCACATGGCTCTCTGAGGGCACTTTGAGGAGGACACAGCCAGCCACCGCGACATTTTGGCCATCACCCCCAGTAGGAATAGCGTTCCGTCTCTTCATGCCTCTGACCTGAGCTCCTTACAGGTGAACCCCCCCCCCCTCTTTCAGAATTCCAGAAATCTCCCCGGAAATTCTCCAGCAAATACATTGTGATCAGGGACTGACTGAGAGAAAAAACATCGCAGATAAGCCAGTGTGTCAGTTATGACCTAATTTGTAAAAATAGGGAAATTAATTATACTAAATATTGAAAAACAATATGTATATTAGAGGTATTTCTTATAATGTCCCGATTCGGTACATAATTAATATTGCTCTACGATGTGACACACGGCCTGCTGGACCTGAGACTTCCTGACAGACTTATTAAAATCCCACAGTAGCACAGCTACAATTACATAACGCTACTACAGTCACTAATCTCCAGTTGTAAATATTATAGTACAGTGAATGATCTTCAATTCCGTCTTCTGCTGTGTCCCGTGTGTGGTAGATATTTAATTAAGCGTGTGTAAGATCTCATATCAAAGGATTATCTATGGTCTGCTATGACATTATGCAGGAAAAGTAACAGATGTATCACAACCTTCCTCAAAGATTAAAATGGGGATTAGGTTCGCAGTAACATTATTGGAGGGGGGGAGGGATTTCCATTGTATTCATTACGATAACTGTATGTGTGCATGTATATATTTTTTGTATGTGTGTGTGTGTATCTGTATATATATATATATATAGAGATTTTGCAGCACTGCTTTATAAAAGCACTGTCATCGGTTTTATACAGTGTTACATATAAACTCCATTACAGCAACACAGCAGCAGCAGTTATATACAGTAAACATATAAGAAATAACCAAAGTGAATGTAACTGTGTGCAGGATAATCAGCTGGAAGTAGGACAGATGGATGGAATAATCGTTAGCCATTAGCAGACAGCGTGCAGGTGAACGTCACTGAGAGCCGCGCACAGGGGTGTCTGTCCCTCACCAGGAGAACCGAAGGTTCTGCCAAGCAGACATTCGTCTGCATAAACACAAGTGAGCAGCTCTGCGTTCGCTGGTACAGATCAGCCTAAACCGGCTCGTTC